TGATCTGGACTGGATGGCTGTGCCCCCGGCCTTGGTCTGCCATCTTTTATTCTGCGTTCCAGCTGAGTTTCGTGGCCGCTCTCCATGTCATTGGGCAGCGCATGGATTTCTACTCCCTCATCCATGTCATCTGGTTGATTTATTTGCTGACTCTCCGGCGGAGGAAAGCGATCGCCGAGGTCTGGCCCCGGTACTGTGGTTTTCTCGTCGGTCTTTTGATCCTTCAGTATTTTCTGTGCCTCGGGCTGCCTCCCGCGTTCTGCAAAGGTAAGCCGAGCCACCTGCCTGCCTGCAGCTTGGCAGGGGAGCACCCACTCTGCAGTAAACCCGGCAGGCATCCTCGGGCCCCCCGGGCCTCCCTTTCTTTTTGTGGGAGGGTTGCCGCCAGGAGGAATTAGGGACCTCGGAAGCGATTTGCTCTAACACCTGGATCGCCTGGTCTTAGGGGATGGTTGACACCTGAAAGAGCCAGCTCCAAGTCACAGCCCCGCTAAACCTGCCCGGCCTTGCCTGTGGGGAAGCGTGGACCCAAGCCTGCCTTGCAGCGTAAAGGACAGGGACAAGAGCAGGCTGTAGGAAGACCCCTTCCCCCTTTCACTCCTGTTTGCTCCTGGCCCCCCAAGTGTGTCTCGCCTCTCTACCAGCCCACCGTCCTGATAGCTTAGGTCCATCCGCCACCAACATCCCCGCTGTGCAGAAGGGGATGTGGAGGCTGGGGCGGAGGGCGCCCAGATGCAGGCCAGCGCCAGGTGGGCTGGGACCCCTGAGCTAAGGTGAGGCAGTTCTTGGCGGCACCTCCCAGAGGGGAACTCGGTTCCTGCGGTGCCATCCCAACAGACGTTCAAAAGTCTCCCGAGTCCGGCGGAGAGCTCCAGCCTTCTTCGTAGACGCCGTCTTTCTCGCGCCTGTGAACGGCTCCTCCCGTCCGCCGCCACCTTGTTCGTGTCCTGGCTCCCCACTGAGTTCTCCTGGCTACCCAGCGCCCTCTTCGTCCTTCTCTCGCTCTTGGCCGGTCTTTCCTACTTCTTCCCGGCCTGTTTCCCTCTTCCTTCCTCCTCTTCCCTGCTCCTTCAGCTCCCTCCACTCACCTTTGCTCCCTCTCACCCTTGCCGGGTGCTCCTCCACCCTTGTCTCGGCCCGAGGGTGCTCCTGAGCTCCCCCCTCCCTCCTCCCTTGCTGAGGCCGAACCCACACTGCTTCTCTCAGCCCCTCCAGCACAGTCCAGCTCCTGACCCCCAGAGACACCTGGATCTGCCGCTTGGAACTCATGGGGCTCACTGGTTCCCTTTATGGGGCCCTGGCTAGACCGGCGGCCTCTCCATGAAGTATCTCCCTGACCCTCCCTAACCCCCCAAGACGGGCATCAGCACCTTCCCCAGGCAAGCCAGTGGTCAGGTTTTCCAATGCCGTTCCCAGCATTGGCTCAACTTAAAAAAAAAAAAAATCCTTCTCTTGACCTTGACATCACCTCCGACAGCTTAGTCAATCCATATCATTTGACAGAAGAGTGAATAGAACACAGGCTCAACGATCTTTAGCAAAATCACAAAGACCAAGAGGGATCATCGCTCCTTCCCTTACAGATTACCCGTGGAGAAGCAGCTCGGCAGTGCAGTCAAATCTCATTCAGTGGTTGTACCTCCCCGATTTTGCCAAGAAGCCGGATGCCAATTTGTTACTCTGTGAGTACTCAGAGGGTCCAAGTGTCTCTTCACGTCGGGACTTCAGATTGGCCGAGCCGTGAGGACTCGGACGTGCCAAGTGGAGTCTCAGCCCTTGCTCGTTGCCAATCTTCATTCCGACATTTCTCCGTTTCATCTTCCTGTGATCATCCAGATGGTACTCAGAGAGGAAATACAGTTACCAGGTTCCAAGGTCTCCATCTAATTAAAAGATGCCTGCCTGGGAGAGAATTTTAATTCCTAAGCATTATTCTGACGGAGAGAATGGGGCTTTCGGTGATGTAAAATGCAGAGATTTAGCTAAATGCCAGATGAAAAGTCAATGGCTGGGTTGCACGTGACTTCCAAACACTGTCGCAAATAAAAGGCTCCGCAGGTTTAGACGGGACAGATGCCCACAGCCCACCAAAGAGGGCCCTCTCGGTGTATTCTGCAGGGGGCAAGGGGCTGCCCTTCGGTCAGCCCACAGGAGACGCGTTCTTCTTGAAGAGAGCCGAGTTGTGTCCAGAAGATGCGACTGTGAGCTCTGGATGTCGTCAGAATTTCCAGAGCCTTTCCCCCTAGTTCTGTCCCACGCAGACTCCTTCCGTAGAAGTTCACTCATTCATGTAATAAACACTAATGAGCCCGTACATACCCTGTGCCCAGCACTGCCCAGAGGGCGTGGAAACCCAGCCACGAAGAAAAAGGGCAAAATCCCACCCAGCAGACCCACTCAAGTGGTTGGAAAGAGCAGGGTCCCCCTCACCCCACTTAGAGTCCTGAGGACAACGTGGGGAGCAAATAACCCTCACCACAGTGCCTCCAACTGCTCCCCTACCGAGAAGGTGGTGATGGCGCCCCAAGTCACAGGAGCGCCAAGCAGAGCCAGGCCTGCCTCCGTGGTCCTGTGTCCTTGCTGGTGGCTCCTTGGGACTGGGGGTTCCACGGGAACCCTGCAACAGGGCAAGCGTGACTGAGAGCCTGTGGTCCTCCCCACCTCTCTACAGACGACTTCCTGCTCCTCCTGGTGGCCTCCCTGCAGTGGCAGGTGTTCGTGGATGAGAACAAAGCCGTGGTGCGAATACAGGCTGGGGACAACGTGGAGATCAGCCGAGAGCTGTGGGCGGAAGACCTCGCCCAGCTCAGCCTCCTTCCCAACTTCATTTTCTGCCGGTAAGAAACACGATCCTGCCCCGGAAAGCACGCGCGCTGGGCGTCTTCACTCCCTTTCAGCATGGTGGCCGCTCCTCTTTGAACTCTTAAACGATTTTTAAGTTGAGGGATGTATCCGGGAAATGCTCCGATCCAAGTGGTCTCAGTCGATCCGTTCTGGCGGGGGCGTAGAAAGGCACTAAGCACTGGAAGAAGACTGGAACTTTCCCGGGGGCCTCTGACCGGTCAATCCACTCTCCCAAGCAAACGCCAATCCCATTTCTATCATCAAAGATTAGTTGCCCCTTTTCCAGACACTCCCTCTGCACCTAGCGCTGCCTTTTGGAGGTCCGTCCATTTGGGTCACTGGGGTCAGTCAAGTTTTCCTTTTCACCGCGGAGCCATCTTGCCCGGCACCAGTTGGACCACATTGCATGGATCCATTCGTTAGCTGACGGAACACACCTGCCATGAGCAGGTGGTTTTTTGCGCAGGGCTCTCATGGGCGTGTTTCTGAGTCAAGGGTGCGCCGAGTGTTTTGAGAACTCGCCAATTGCCCTCTGAAGAAGCGGTATCGCTTTCTGTGACTTTCCGAGTGCCCCTTCTCACCGCGTGGCGATGGAATCGGGTCTCTGCCATGTGCATGCTCACAAGGATGGACGGAGCGAGGCCCCGTGCAAGACAGGACTTGGAATTCGGCAGGGGGAAAAAGTGGGAGGTGGGGGAGGGGAGTAGACAAAGAAGCCCACTTTTATCCCAGCAGAGTTTTTTTCCTGATGAAACTGAGGAATTTATATGGGGAAAAAATCATTTTGTGTATTCTACACAGCAATCAAGATGGGATAGGATCAGTAAAAGCAAAGCCACCTGACTCATAGACTGGCTGGGGCAGCAGGGGCTTAAAGAATCACCTTCTCAATCAGCGGGACTGGGACTATGAAGAATCTGTATATTTTGGCCACAGTTTTTAAAATCGCATGAATAACAATGAGCACACGGGCAACGGAAAGATTCTAGAATTGATTGTGGCGGTGACGGCACAGCTCTTCTGGCTCTGACTCAGCTGTCGAGTCGTGTGACACGTGGATGAAGTGCCAATGAAACCACTTTAAAAAAGAAAACCAAAGAATAAGAAGCCCTGATCCCTACCTCACATTGTGTACAAACCCTAACCTGACACTGATCGCAGACCTTACCATAAAACCTGAACTTTCTGTAAAAGCTTCTATTTTCTAAAATTAGGAGCCGTCGCTTAGAAGGCAGGGAGTGTCTGTTATTGGTGGTGGAGTAACCCAGCAAAGAGCGTGGTGAGGGTAGCCCCGCAGGCAGAATCTGGTCAACGACCCCGAATTGTCCTTCTAAGTGTTACCAATTTGGCAAACGTTGTGTTGTATGATATTTAGAAGTGCAAAGCAAAGTAAAGCAACATGAAAATGTAGAAATTCCTCTATCCCTGGAGTTAGAGGAAGATGTTTAGAACAGGACAGAGCAATGGATGGATGGATGGATGGATTGTGATAAGAGGTGGATGAGTCCCCAATAAAATGATTAAAAATAAAAAAAAGAACAGGACACAGACAGCCGGAACCATGAGAAGAAAGAATGGGACATACCGAATTCATGGCCTTAAATAAATCGATAAATTGCCATTTTTAGAACATTCCATTGAAGAAGAGCCATATGTATATTTTTCCTCAGTACATACAGGACACTTTTCAAGATACACAATATGGTTTAAGGTCGCAAGTCAAGTCTCAATTTAAAAGAACAGAGGTCGTCTAAAGTGTATTCTCTGATCACACTGGAATTAAATTAGTAAACAGCAACAGAAAACCCTCTGAAAAAATGCTCAATTATTTGGAGGCTAGCCAACAGCTCAAAATAACCCATGGGTCTAAAAAGAAATAAAGTATTTTGAACTGAACAAAAATGAATAAACAACATAATGGTTTGTGTGATACATTAAAGCAGTGCTGAGGGCGGAATTTATAGCAATAAACTGATTTAAAAGAAAAAAAAGAAGAATGGTGATGTATTGGACTACACACACACACACACACACACACACACACACACACACACAGAGCAAACCAATCCTCCAAACCCTTTGGGCTCCTTCCCTGTGAAGAGATGAGACACAGACGGTGACAATGTTTTTGCAAATCACACGTCAGCTACAGAAGTTCCTCCAACCTATATAAAGAGCACGCACAGTTCACTAAGAAGAAGACCCATTTTGAAAACGGGGGAACCGACTGAACAGACCCTCAACCAAAAGCACAAAAGCACGGTGACAACGGCAGGGCGCACATGGGGAAAGCCACTCAGCACCCTCGGTGGCAGGGGAAATGCAAATGACAAGGGAGCAGGAGCTCCCGCTGCCCAGGTGTGGATGGGCAGGTGCTGGGGAGGAAGCCGAGGGCGAGTGACAGGCCCCGCATTGCTGGTGGGATCAGACAGACGGCCAGATGGTGGGATCAGACAGACGGCCAGATGCTTAGAAGCAGCGTCTTCTGAGGGTGCATTTCCTGCATGACTCGGCAATTTGGTATTTGGCCAAGGAAAATGGAAACTCGGTTTTTCGTGTTACCTATATCCCCGCGGACACCAGGATTGGAACGAGCGTGATTCCTATACTGCAGCCCCATTCATTACACAGGCTAGTCTCTGTCCTAACCAGCTCTTTACCCATCCCACCCCATCTTGATGGCTGTGTAGCTACAGGGAAAAACCATTTGTTTTCATATCATTTTCCCCATCTCAATACGTACCAATTATTTAGGTTTTCAAACTCATTCCACGCCACCCAGACACCTCCCCCCACAAAAAAACCAAAGACCAAAGGTACGCATCTGGATGGCAGCTTGATGCTTCATTGTCAAAAGCTGTAAGCAGTGGATGCCCACCAGCGGGTGACTGGACCCATGGTGGCCCTTGGTGCAACAGGACGGGCTCAGCAGGAAGAACGCGGCATCAACACGGATCCTTGCGACCACAGACATGCGTCCCACAGCATTAGGCTGAGTCAAAGAAGCCAGACACAAAAGGCAGCGTTCTGTAGGAACGCGTTTGCAAAGGGCAGATGATAGGGAGAGCTACCACCGGCCTGTTAGTTTGTCAGACTGTGATGGCTCACTTGTTGCTACGCTGCAGGGAGCGACGGCGGGGGTATTTCATGGACAGTGAGGTCGCTCCTGGCGGACAGGTTTCAGAAAAGCTCATGAACTAAGCCAGACCGAGAAGAGCGGCCTGGTGGTCCACTTCCAAAAACCAGCTCTTGAAAACCCAATGGTTTATAGCAGAACTTCGTCCAACATGGTGCCGGGAGATGAGGCCCCTGGGTGGGAAGGCACGGCACCACGGTGGCCACAAGGGGCTCACGGTGCCCACGGTCACGAAGGCCGCCCAGGCGACGTCTCCTCTGCTGTCCACGGGGCTGCCCTGCGTCGGAGTCCATCTGCCCACCCTGAGGCACGAAGATGCTAACTGAAAAACTCGGCTTCCAAAAAGGCGTCAGGCCTCAAGATCCCCTGGGACAGTTCCCGTCTGTCCTACGCGGTCATGAACCTGACACGGCTTGACGGGCACAGGTCACCAGAACGACCAAGAAGGGAAGCCCATCTGAGACAGGGAGCTGAGGGAGGGCACAGGGACCCAGGGAGACGCGGAGCTCTCTTTGAATCTTGCTTTAATGTCATGTTTAAGCAGCTTCATCGGCACGCAGTCCACATAGCCTGCCATCCAACAGCTCAGTCCCGGCAAGAAGAGTTGTCCAATCATCCCCACAATCAATGTGAGAACGTGTTCCACCTTCTTGGGCTCATTGTCCTTAGCTCCCCGCTTCCCCCAATCTCCCTGCCAACCCCCCACCCCCAAGAAACCAGGCATCCCTTACAGTCTGTAGAGATTTACCTAGCCTGATTTCATATATGGAAGGAAAAAAACCCACACAAAATAAAGCAGAACAAAAAACTGACAACAAGAACAAACGAAAACAGGACACCCTCCATCGAAAAGGAAGGAGAATATATTAAAACCTAGAACAACTTGAAAAATGAGCCAAAAGGGTGCTCAGGTGGTAAGATGTTAAAGTTTAACCCGCTGACCGCAGCTGGAAGGCGCTTTCCCCGTGCGCTCCGCGTGACAGCACGGCCGTGCAAGTCCCTGGTCTGTGGTCAGAGGGGACTGACCGGAGGTTGCCTCCGCGTGAATTTCCCCATCACTTTCTTGTTTGTTTTTGCTTTTCTGAACGGAGACACCTTTGAAAGGGGGCGAAACGGAGATCAAATAAGATAGCCCACATTTCCCTAACGCTAGCGACCTATAGTCTGCACAACGCTGCCTGCTGACCAGGCGACGCCCACCCTTGGCGATGGCCAGCGGGGCTTGGTCGGAGGCTCCATCGGTGGGGTGGACCCTGCAGACGGATCTTGGGCCTCCCATCGAGGCGAAGGACACACCCTCAACTGAGGCGGTAACTTGAGGACTGTGTCTGTCTGTCCAAACGCAGAGAGCCACCCCTCAAGGGGGCTGTGTGTGTGTGACTGTGTGTACATAACATCCCCCCCGCCCAGCTTTTAGGAACACGCGTGTGCTCAGGGGCCTTTCCCACTGTGGCCCATGCTCTGAGGCTCTGAGGATCCCCCTCTCCCCATGTGCTGCTGGCCCCCACTGTACGAGGTCCCCATTGTCGGAGGGTCAGTGAGAGGTGGCTTTGGGGTCACCTGCGGGGTCAACACGCTTGCCTTTGATGCGCTCAGCTTTCTTCCAGGTCCTACCTGGACCTGGCCAAGGTCGCCGTTTTCCGCTACATCTTCTGGGTCGTGCTCTGCCTGGTTTTCCTCGCCGGGACAAGTCGGCTCAGCGTCCTGGGCGCTGGGTACCTGGTGGCCTTTGGTTACTTCATGCACCGAGGAAGCCATCTCCTCCTGCAGCCTGTGAAGTCGATCCTCCAGCCCTGGGACCGCCTGGTGGCCTGCTCGGTGCTGGTGGTGGCCGGGAAGACTCTCCTGTCGGTACGGCTTGCACGGAAGGCTTCCCGTTGTTCTCCTGGTCCGGCGGCCCTCGTTGCTCTCAGAAGGGCCACAGCTAAGACCAGCCTGGCTGAGAAGTGTGGGTACCAGAGGGGGGGAGCTGTGAAACAGTCCCCGCGAGACCCCAGTGGCGCCATCGGCACTTTCTGAGGTGGCCTCTGAGGCTCTGGATCTGGGGGCACCCAGAGGCAGAGGAGGAAGCGTGGTAGAAAGGATGCTTTATGAGCCAGCTGACAGCCCGGACACTAGCCCCCAGGGAGTCTGGGGTGTCCCAGTGACGACAGGACTCACCCTCTCTGCCCCGTGCCTCTTGAAGTACAATCCCATTTGGAGAATAACAAAGCCGAGTGGGCTGATCAATGCAGTAGGGTTTGGGGCATATGATTCACATATTGTACAATTCAATGGTTCAATCATATGAAGAAGAGTTGTGCAATCATCACCACAATCAGTTTTAGAACATTCTCTTCTTCTGGCTATTATTGTTAGCTCCCCATTCTCTCTCACCCCCCACCCCCCGACCTCCCCTGCCACGTCCCTCAGAAAAACCTAACTCACTGCCATCAAGCACACACCGGCTCATAGCGGCGCCATAAGCTGCGGTCGGACAACCCCTGTGCGTTTCCCAGACGGTCACTCTTTGCGGGAGTAGAGAGCCTCCTCTTTCTCCAGTGGAGCGGCTGGTGGGTTCGAACTGCTGGCCTTGCAGTGAGCAGCCCAAAGCTGACCAACGTGCAACCGTTACACCATGTCTCTGGATAATCACTCATCCAGTGACTGTCTCTGTAGCTTTACCTATGCTGGCCTTCATCTACAGAGAAAAGGAAGCACAATCCAGAAACAGACAAACAACCCCAACAGAGGCAGCCGCTTGAGAGCTACAGAATTCACGGGCTGGAAACTAGACGTGGCAGGGGTGGGAGGGGGGCGTGGTGTCTCAGAAGGCGACTGGACTCCTTCAGCCACAACCCCTTCCCTTGCCGCCACCTTGGCTGAGAGGGCTTTAAAATATCCATCTTATGGGTGAACATCGGGACCTAAGAGACCAGCCCAACACCATCATCTGGGGTAGAAGACCCTAGACCCCTGTCTCCAGCCCCCCGCCCCCTGCCCGAGACATTTGTTTTTGTCTTTTGGTCTGAGCTGCCATGCTCCACACGCGAACTTCCACCTCAGCCGTGCATTAAAGCTCCACTCAGCATAATGGAATCATTCTTTGGCAATCCCAACCCCTGGTCACCCTTCAGTCGATTGGTCTTGGTTGGCCCCGACCTCCTGAGTGATTGCCTGTCAGATGAACTAGCTTTTACTGTAATGGTGACATTCGCATCCCTAATTTATCTTATTGCTTCTCCGTGGGGGGAGACACCCCCGGGTCCTCCAGTGGAATATATCCGCCTAATGGCCAGGAGGCCTTTCTTGGTAAAAATAAAACAAGTGTGGGAGGGAGAGGGAGCGTCTAGAGATGACGCAGTCCCTTGGCAGATGAGACCATGGCGAGGAGGAGAGCCAGGACCTTGGACCACGGCAGCTCTGTTTCCTCCGTCTGTCCCTTACCAAGTCTCCTCCGTGGCCCCTTGGCTCCCACTATTGATATTGGATGATGGGGTGGAAGGACACAGCAGCTGCCTAAGGACAGCTCTAGCCGAGAGACTGGCCCCCAGCGAGTCCGGCGGTCCCTAGTGACCACGGGATGACAGGCTCAGGCAGTGTTCCCTTCTGTCCATCATGGGGTCACTATGTGTCGGCCGACTGGACGGCCCAATGACGATGACGACGGACATTTGCCGTCCAGCTGGCTCCCGCTCCTGGCTGCCCCATATGTGCTCCGCTGCTTGCAGTAAGGAAGGCGACTAGACCTCCCACCAGCTGCTCTGCAGCAGAAAGACTTGACCACTCGCTCCTGTAGAGACTGTGCAGCCACAGGAGCCCCCCAGTTCAGTTGCACTCAGCCCCAAGGGTCTTTAAGGGTCAGACGGCACTCCGTGGCAACGGGCTTGGCTTGGTCCTTTAGCACCCCCCCAGGGGCGGCCATCATTCAGGGACGGCTATCACCCCCCCGGGGATGGCCATCATTCAGGGACGGCTATCACCCCCACCCCAGGGATGGCTATCACCCCCCCAGGGGCGGCCATCATTCAGGGACGGCTATCACCCCCCCAGGGACGGCCACCATTCAGGGACGGCTATCACCCCCCAGGGATGGCCATCAGGAGTAGCCCCAGGCTGCCTGGCTATGTGTCTAGGAAGGGACCTGGTGGGTGGGGAGGGGTTACAGAAGCCACAAGGAGAACCCACCAGGAGAAAGATGAGGCTTTCTACTCCCCCAAAGAGTTACCGTCTCGGAAATCCTGAGTCAGGATTGGCTCCGTGGGGGTGCACGTTGGGTTGGCGTGGCTAGTGCCGTGGGCTGAGGAGGTTTACACCGTCCATGCTACAGATGAACACAGACAGAAGAGATCCGCCCAGTACCGTCCTCTGAGCTAGAAGACACTAGACCCCCATCTGCAGCTTGGTGTTACAGCTGAGGGGACAGCAAAGGGAGGCAACATAGGATGGCATTGAGTGCTGGTGTTGGCGGGGGGAAGGGGTGGGGCGGGAGGCCCGGTTGTGGTCCATGTGCATCCTCAGCCTGTTTCTCGTTGCAGGCAGGGGCATGTGTGTACCTGGACACATTGCTTGGTTCCCACTGCTGGCTAGTCCACACCTTGGGCATGTTCTGCACAGGGAGAGGATACCAGCTCAGTAAGTGCCCACACCATGGCCGCCAGCAAACACAGGGCTGGGTCGCTGGAAAGTGGGGATGGGCAGCTGGTGCCGGGGGCACACATTCTGCTGGCCAAACACTTAGACGCACAGAAGCCTGGTGTTGCCATCACCTGCCCGCCTGCCCTCCCTGCAGAGGAGCAACTGTGGATGGTGCTGTGTCTGCAGTGTGTGCTTTTGCACACCCGGCGAGGGGTGTGCCAGACTCCAGGCATCCTCCACGGGAGCTGCCTAGCCGGACACCCCGAGGAAATCCGTCCCAATGACCCAGTCTCACCCCTGCTGCCCCAGCTCCAGCAGTCACAGCCAATCGAGGGACCGGGGGAATCAGGATCCGAGCAGGGCCACCCGGTGCATTTGATTGCCCGGACAGGCTCTCAAAACTTCGAGGGAAGCGACTGGCCAGGTGGGGAGACATCCATTCTCCCCTGGAGAACTCAGAGACGGCACAAAGGAGCGGGAGGGGCATCCAGCCGGGGTGGGGGTGGTGGTGTGTCCCCGTGCCCAGGGCGAAACCTCTGCAGAACCGGCAGGCTGGGAGAAGGAATTCTGTCCTGGCAAGGCGGTCCCTGGCTCCCCTTTTTTTGAAGAGTGGGAAAGGAAGAAATGTTTATTTTACCCCTTGCCTCTGAGTGACATCTTGGGCGATCCCACTGCCTCGGTTTGTCCAGAACATGTGTGAGCGCAGGTGTCTGGTTCTCCCTAGACTGGCCCTGCAGGCCAGGCTTGGTGCCGTGGCCCCAGGGAGTCATGGAGTCTCGGGAATGTTCTCAACCCTGGATTTCCGGCTCCTCCAGCCACTCAGGGCTCCACTGTCTACCCCCCAGGGGAGGCCAGGGTGCTGGGCTCACCCACCTGAGACTTGGAGAGGGAGCGGGCGGGTGAGGGCCCTGAAGAGGACGCTGATAGAGGGACTGAGCGAGAAAGGAGCAGCTGCTTAGCCTGGCCTGCCCCCCTCGGCCCCCCCAAGACCAGCCCAGTGGGCAGGAAGGGGAAGGAAGAGGAGCAAAGGTGGGCAGCATCCAGAGGAAAGAGGAGGGAGGTGACTGGCTTGACCCAGAGCTGGCCTCTCCCCTTCAGAAGCCGGCCAGTCACGGTGGGCGGCTCAACACGGGGAGGCCACCCGTGTGGTGTCTCCTGTGCCTGTCTCCACGCAGCTGTCCCTGAAGACGGGCCATGCGAGGCCCCTGAGCAGGCAGCGGGGATCCTTTGGGACGGCGTGTGCTTCACCTTTCTGCTGATCCAGAGACGCATCTTCCTGAGCTACTACCACCTGTTCGTGGTGGCCGACCGGAAGGCCGCGGCCGCCTCTGCACCCAGGTACCCGACCCCGGACTGAAGTGCTAGTACCCAAGGGATGCCTTAGCATGGGGGACCCTCAGCCAGAGGATCACAAGACTGCAGACATCGGAAACCTCAGACTGCCCCAGGCAGTCCCCTCCCCACCCCATGCCCCTCAGACCACTTCATCGGAGTCCTGCCCTCAGACCATCCTATGTCCTGCCCTCCCCGCAAGAGAAAGAGTTAAGACCCAAAGAGGTCCCGTGCTTGGCATTGCTCAGCTGACCTAGAGAGAAGCAATGGCAGAGCCCAGCCTCGCCCTCAATGTCTGGGAGCTCCTCGGGGTCTCTAGGTATACAGGGCCTGAGGCTTGGGGTGATACTGATTTGTAAACGCGGAGGAAAGTCACCCACTTCTCACTTGGCCAACTTGGTGGGGAACTGGCCCCACGGCAGTAGAGGGGCCTCCATTCAGCCGAGTCAGTGTGAGGAGGCCAGTTTGTGTGCGACACCTTCAAGCCGAGGCCCTGGCCAGAGACAGGGCTGGGGGCCCCTATGGGCATCTCCCCTGGCCTTGGGCTCGGCCACCTTGGTCTTGCTCCTCAGCAGTCAGCCAGTCACCTCACAGCCCGGGTCTGATGGGAGAACCGAGGCAGACTCCACAGAGAGAGGGGACGGCACAAGCCCACTTCCCAGGAATGACACTCTCCGCTCCAGAGCGCAGATCGGTATTCCTGGATTCAGAGCCACCCTCAGCCCCTACCAAGGTAGCCTCTGCCCACCCCAGAGCCTGGTCCAGCCCGCCTGGCCTCCAGGCAGGATCTGAGGAGCTATGCACCAGCAAAGTAGACTGTCCGTTCATCAACACACAGTGTTTCTTGGGCTGCTTGCATTTGTCCTTGGGCTTCTGGGCAAAACTGGGTCTTTATGTCCTCGAGGGTCCTGCCCTTCAGGGAGCAGAGGACAAGGGCTCCCTCTGAGCTGCCCTGGGACCTGCCTTGTCACCTAAGGGCTTGACCACTTTATCCCCGGGCGTTCTCGCCAAGCCTGGCAGTGCCTTTTGGTCAGCAGAACCTGGAAGAGGCTGGGAGGGTTTTGTTAAGTGTCTGTTGCCCACACGCAGGGCGGCCAAGCTGCTCGGGCTGGGGCTCAGAGAGGCCATGACGCGCTGTGAGGAAGAGGAGGGAAGGTCCCGACGGGTCGCCATGGAGCGGTAGGTTGATTTCGTTCCTGTTTCGTCCTGGAAATGAATTCCTCCCGAAGCTTTTGCCATTTGGGTAGTGCTGATTTCTCCCTCCGGTGCAGGCTTGTCTCCCCCCTCCCCCTCCTCCCCCCTCCCCTGCCCCCACTGCCTTCTTCTTCTTTTTGATGTTCACCAAGAAGAAGAGCCTGTGTGTGATTGGAAATGTACCAGTGTTCGGAGCGTGGGGCGCTAATGAGACCCACGTGGGTCAATCAGTGGTCGGAGGTGGCAAAGATTGCAGCCCGATCCCTCCGGCTTGAGGACTGCGGCCGAGCTCTTGAGCATGATGGGCGCACAGGCTTCCCTGGAACGAGCCCGAGGAGGCGCCGTGTGGAGGAGCAGCGCCCCCCAGACAGGCCACGTGCTGTCCTGGGACCGAGCCTCCGCTCCGGCTGCCCTTGGCTTTGACCCAGTGCCCACCCCATCCTCCGATGGGCCAGTCGCTGAAGTCTAGAGCCCCCTCCTTCCTGTGTCAGGAGAGGCTCGGAGACACACGCTTTTTGCTTTAACCTGGTGTTGGCTCTAACCCATGTGATCCTATGGAGCAGGGGCTTTTCCAGGCTGCACTCCTTAGTAGACAGGTATTTCTCCCATAGACAGGTATTTCTCCCATAGACAGGTATTATTTTTCCCCATAGACAGGCATTTTTTCCCCCATAGACAGGTACTTTTCCCATAGACAGG